ATCATTTGTCTAACGTTCACTACTTGGCATGATCCCAACTCGGGACTAGAGTTCTCACCGAAGAAGCTAGGAGGTGTCTTGTACGTCGGTTGACCTTGTAAGCTACTAAATGACATAGAAAGTCCTCTACCAACGATTAGGGTTACGTGTTGATGTAAAGGTCTGGAGAGTTACATTGATTTTAGTTAGGTTTGCTTGGGGACAAGCAGATTGTTAAATGTGGGGGAATTTGATAACTCGGTATTTGCGCATATTTTGCCCACCATGCTTACATGTATTGAGATTCGATTCTCGTGTTTTAAGCCTTTTTCACGCTAGGTTTTTCTTGCATGATGTATTTCAGGTCTTGGATCAGCTATGGAGGCTTGGGAGCGAGTTTCGGGTCAAAAGCACCAAGTGGACGAAAGGAGTAGTTCGAGGACAAAAATACCGGGCCTGAAAATTAATTGCCCGACCAGGGAAATGCCATTACAGACCGGGGAACTCGTCCAATGATTTTCCCTAGTTGTGACCCCTTGTTCCCTGATCGAGGATTCGAACCTGAGGCGAGGATATTGGATGTGGGACTTAAGTGGTTGCGCTGGTGTTTTGGAAGAAACCCGGCCTGGGCATCAAATTACCAGACCGGGTAATCAGACCGGTGGTTCGAGACTTGAGTTATTTAGAGCCAAACACGGTTTTGATAATTCATTGGAGTTTTGGAGTAGAAAATAGAGGTTTAGAGAGAGAAAGTAACAAACAAAGACCTTTGAGTGCTCTAGATCAAGTTTTCCCATCATTGGAGCTCGATTCAAGCCTCGAGGAGTGATGATTGACGATCCGGAGCAGATTTCTTCCGTCTACACGATGACTTGTATATCTTACATGGATTTCATCTCTCTCTATGGAGTAATCCCCCTCTACCACTTGGGTATGAAGAATCCCAATTTTGCATGTTAGGAGCAGTTGTATGAACCCTTTCCAATACATTGATGATTATATATCCAATTGAAGGTTTATTCAGAAATCTATGAGCCTTTATCACACTTGTATGTTTCATGCTTTGACCTAGAACGATGGATTCTGAATAGTCCAATAGAGCATCTTGATATGGAAGTAGTGAATCGATTGTGCGAGAGTCAATCAATTCATTGCTCTGTACTAGGATTCATTCCAATAGAGGATATATTTTTTATTGCCTTATCGCTTTATCTCGGTGAAGGTTAGTCACCTGCCGAATACCGTGTCTGAGAGGGATTGGTCAGTTTAAGAGTTCCATACTAGGTCCAGATCTTCCATAATATAAATCTGAATTGAATTGGACTAGGTGACTTACAACTCGACTTAACTGCAAACTAGGGGGAATCATTACCTAAGTGGTCTCCTTCTCGAACTTGAAAACCAAAACCTTTACTACTTCTGGTTTGTTTTGAACACTTCACTCAACTTTTCCCGCTAGATACACAGAGTAGGCAGTAGGTCTAGACCCCAGGTTGATAAGTAAAACTTACCCACTATTCAGCATTTCCATTCTACGATTACACTTGGTCGTAGTTTGGTGTTGTGTCGTAGCGAGTCAGGAAGCTGCCTGAATTAGACATAATGCTATCTACAAAAAATTATTATTTAACTTTAGATCGATAATAAATGTTTCCCATTCAGAATCCACTACTAAGGTTTCTAGTACAAAATTAGAAGCATTAGATATCCCTTCAATTAACATGGCAAAAATTAGAGACATGAAGAAGAAGGCAAAGGGTGAATATAATTATATTCACATAGGATTAGTTCAAGTTGGAATATTCCCATTATTCAATTTGCCCATAGTCCCGTGATAGTTGTTGTCCTTGATAAACGATGGAAAGAGTTTAAGGATCGGTTAATATCAGGAGTTCAAACAAACTTGGCACATGGCCTTGTTTCGTTCCAAGCCTACCCAAACTATCTCATGGCTTTGGACGGCAAGTGTCTAGGTAATTTAATAACTTTAAGACTAGTATACAATGGAGAAAATTTTGAAGATTTCTTCAAGGCTTGTGCAGGAATAATCATAGCCAAAACAAATGATTTAGTGGTCCTTAAGTCAGGCAAAGCCTTTGTGGTTCTCCGAACCAAAGATATTTGCTATATGGACCCTGATGTGGTAAAAAATGGGAAAGACGGAATGATGGATCTCTTACTGAGGATTTGGGATGGAGATTCTAATCTTGATATCCACCCAGATACAATTGTAGAGTGGAGAAAGACCACGGAAAATGTTGAAGAGCATCTATCCAAAAATGGCCAGACACTGATGGACGACACCATGTGATGATCGTCCCCACAACATAATATGTAGAACTCAGTAAGTCCTTTGTATCTGACCAAAGGAATCTAAATAATGTGAGTGTAGTGTGTTTTGAGCTGGTAAACAGTACCAAAGGCACTAACTGTCCTAATGAGTTGGCAAACAGTATCAGACGCACCAACTTTATATATAGCTACCTTGTGAGTGTTCATTACAAGAGGTTTACGAGGGAGTCTTAGACAAAGAAAAAAAGAGAGAATCAGTATAAGGTTGAGAGGGGAGTATTGTGTAATAGTCCCCTGTGTTGTGATATCTATATAAACCTTCTGAGTTTTTCTCAAACTACCTCAAGCACCTTCTATCTCTTGATATACCTTTATGCTTTTCTTAGCGGTCTAATAAAGAGAAGTTTTTTCATAGTAAGACCTCCAATGAACCAAAGAGGCAACTCGAATACACAGAAGAACCTCAACCCAGTCCTGGGTAAAGCTAATGACGAGCAAGAAAAGATTAAAGGCATAAGCTTAGTGTGCCTTGTTAACTGACTAGGTATATGATACTGAACTCATCTAGTGTCCATACTATTTGAGTTTGAATCTTATTTTAATCTATTCTAATATGAGTAAAGATTGCCAGTATCCATATGGTTTTCATCTAGAATATGAGATTGGTAATGATCCTGCTACCGGACTTTTAAACAACATCATAGATCGTCAGTCATCCTTAATTAGTAAGGTAGACAAGTTTTCCAATAATTTGGAAGAACCGACTCTTAAAAAGAGTAAATTTGAAGACTTGATCTTCAAGAGTAAATCCACTCTAGGATTTGCTGCTAGTTCTCGAATTACATATGAATTTGGGAGGTTGAATAAAAATCGACGTGAACGTAATTAATCTTCTACTTCATAAAAGATCCCTGAGTAGTTCCTGGTTGGAGCAGACTCACAATAGTTGGTATCAGAGCCTTAAACAGAACAAGAATTGTTTTGTTGAAGTTTTAGTAGTGTTTTGTAAAAGGAAAAGGTTGAAAGACTGCTTTGAAATTTGGATTGCTCAAAGGTGCCCAAATTTTAGCGTAATCGCCCAAAAGTTTGTTATATTTTGAATTTATTTATTTTTAGTGAATATTTTTGTGAATAAGCCTACTTTAGGGGACTTGTGATATACTTTATGAGATTTCTGATATGTTTAAGAGAACTTGTGGTATGCTTGAAGTTTCTAGCATGCTTTATTAATTTTGTATTATGTTAAGGTTGTAGTATGCTTTATAAGCTTTATGGGAGTCGATATATGGAGACTAAGTGGGTCATTAACCACTTGGCTAAGCCCCTCATAACCATTAGACCTAGACATACAAATCTAACAGTTAAAAATGAGAAGAGTTTTAATTAGTGATAGAGTTAACTTGGTTTATAAAAAATTGATTTAATTAAAAAATTTAATTTTTTTTTCTCTCCCCCTATTACTTTTTAGTAGGGGTGGGCAATGGGCGCGTTGAGTGGATTTTGGTCTAAAATTGACTCACCCGCTTACTAGCGGGTTGGAATATATGCGACCCGCAATCTACCCACATACTTATGCGGGTTGGGTTGGGTGCGGTTGGGTCGCGGGTTAACCCGCAAAAACAATTCTCCAACTAGCCATTAAGAAAATTGACTAACATTTATAAGAACTTCATAGCAAATTAGTAAGATTGTATCAATAATTTGTGATTTTTATATAATTAATAATTTATAGTTTGTATCCCAATATTTAATGGATATTAACAATAATTTGCATACCAATATTCAATATTCAGTGGATATTGCACAACACAATAACCAATAATAGTAATTAAAACTATTCTTTATTCTCACCTTTTGAAGTATATGGTCAGACTGTAGTGCAGTTCGAAAATATGATGAATATTTGATACTATAAGAAACAACATTTTTCCATGTAAAAATAGGACGCGGGTCATACGGGTGACCCGCAATCCACCCACCATCCACCCACATAAGTGCGGATGCGAGATTTAACAATCCGCAATCCACCCACATCAATCACACATTGCGTGCGGGGTCGGGTTATTTGTGGGTGGATCGATATCAATCAGCGGATACAAAGTATACCGACCATAAAAAAATGTACGAACAAATAATGGATGTTATATAAACCATAATACAAAAATGTACAGATCATATCATGAAAAATATACAAACTATTAAAAAAATGTACAGATCATATCATGAAAAATATACAAACTAATATTACAAGATATACAAAACAAACCATAAAATTATACAAAAAAAATTTATACAAACCAGATGATAAAATTGTACAAACCATACAACATATACAAACCAAATTTACAAATAATACAAAACTTACAAACTATACAACCATACAAACTATACAAACAATATTTATAAACTAGACCGAAAAACATTACAAAGTCATTGCCGACGCCGAAAAAAGTGCCGACATTGTCTCTCTCTCCTCCTCTACAACCACCGAATCTCTCTCCAAACAAAATGAAAAAATAATCTGGTTAACTTTGGAGATTCCATGTCTATATAGAAGAATTATTAGCGTGAACATACTAGCCAATTCGATTATTAATATTTATAAATCAAAAAACAAAATATTCATATTCGCTGAAATTATTAGCACCATGACGCAAATTGACTATTAGCATCCTAAAATCTAGTAAATTCTTTTAAATAAAAAAGAGGAAAATAGTTTCTGGAGTTTAGTGGTTTACAGGCTCTCCAAGCAAAGCAGCGAAAGTATCAAAAGAAAGCAGCCAAAGAAGAGAGAGAAGCGGGCCAGAAGGCTGGAGACTGGAATTATCGGAGACAGAGTGGTAAATTAGGATGGGGACGGCCAGCCAAGCACCGACGAGCAGCTGAACCTCCCAGCAAATTCATGTCAGCGTTTTCTGGTGAGCATCATTAATTTCCCCCCCATCTCCCCAAGACCTCAACACGGTTTCCTTTCGCGTATTGTTGAAAGTTACACTTCTCTAATTACACTCTTTCCGTCCTTTTCTTTTTCATCTTTTGGTGGGTTATCTTCCTTAACCCTTCTTCTCAATTTCCTTGCTTCTGCTCCAGGTATTATTACTCTGCTTCTTGTTTGAATTTTGGCCCACCGCCCGCTCCTTCTTCTCTGGATGTCTTTTTTGTTGTTGATTCTCCACCATGTGCAGCTATCTCTTTTCCTTGCTGTTGTTAATAAACCGTTACATGTCGCTCTCAAACTCGTTATCTTCAAAACCCACAACCCTGTGCTGAGATGCACCAAGCTCTTGCATAATCTCACTCCATCCTGTTGCTACTTCTACACTGTTGAATTTAACCCTCTCTGCTTAATTGTCTGTGCATCACTGCTCTGTTAACAATTTGCACATTTCCCTTGCCTGTACCATTCAGGAGAAACAATTTCGCGTTTCAGATCAGCTAAGAGCTGAGATGATGGAATTGGGTTTGCCTCTCATTCCCGTGGTTGACAATGCCACATCCCATCTGCTGGCTTCTGCCTTTGTGGGTATTATTATGTGCAGAGCTGTAAGTTTATCTATGCTCAAACTGGCTTTTCTTTTTCTTACCTTTGTTTATTTATTTTATATACATATACTAGAGAGTGTGCAACATGGGTCTTCTCAACAAACTGGGTGTGAAATGAAATTGTTTTTTCTCTTCTCTTCGTCTCTACTCAAGTTACTGAAGTTGGTCGCTTTTGCTTGTATGATTCTCTATGTACCGGTTGTTCATCCGTATAGAGAGCTCTTCTATACACTTGGTTCATCGAGGTGGAAAACACTTCTCAAACTGTTTCAACATTTGGTTTTCGCAGGTTTATATTCTGACAGGTTATGTTAGTGTTTTGTGTTTTAAAGGCTACGACAAACTCAGCTATAAACAGAAAATGGAATGGAACAACAGGTAGAACATTTATGCAAAACACTCGTGTTTTTCTCATTTAGAATGTCTTGCTTCCAACTGTAGTCAAGGTCCCATGGAATAATGACCTTATTTTTTGTTCTGTCCTACAGGGGATTCTCAACGTTCCATGCCCTATTTGCTGCATCTTTGTCTCTCTACCTGTTATTATATTCCGATCTCTTTAAGGAAGATCCTCAAGATGGTCTGATAATCAACAACTACTCTTTTCTATCAAATTCTGTATTAGGGGTAAGCTGGTACAGGAAGAGGCATTACTTCTCCTTTTCTTGCTTCTGAGCTCTTGTTCTGACTTATTATATACATATTTGTTGAGTTCGCAGATTCAGCATTAGTTTTTGCCGGATGAGCTTGTTTTTGTATAATGGAGTTGCATTAAGTGTTTTTTCTGCTACATACCTGCATTCTGTTGTTTCATTCCTGCAGACAATAATATGTGCTTTCATACTCGTCTCAAATCATCAGCTTATTAATCCATGAAGTGTGCTGCATACTGTTCTGTGCAGCTAGCTCTTTTCCTTGCTGTTGTTAATAAACCGTTACTGTTAAGTCAACCCTACATAAACGCCTTCTGTTCTGTCAGTGTTTATTGTAGTAGTCCCTGAGTAATTATATTGTACTCAGTATGGAATTTTTCCAAAATGGGATTTACATTGGAGTTATTCTTCTGGTTAAGGTTTTGGCATCCTTCCCTTTTCAAATGAAATGTTCGGTAACTGGGATCGCTTTCTTGTACATTTATATTGTGATGGAGGTTGTAGGATGTGAAGGAGTCAGCTCTCAAGTTGATTGGCATTTTGCAGTGTTAAAGATTTAAGTTTTAGTAATACAAACTAAATAATATCTCTGTTTCCTGTCATTGGGTCCGTCCTTTACAAACAGGGTAGCTAGCTGATAAATTGGCTAATGGGGAAATTTGAGGTCTCTTAGTATCTCATGTGCATTGTCTAATTTTACTCTTTGTTATTTGTCCTTGACACTTTATGCAGATCTCCATTGGCTATTTTCTGACAGACCTTGCAATGATCCTTTGGTTTTACCCAGTTCTGGGTGGACTGGAGTATGTAAGTGGAAGTTCTTTTACTATGCTGAATACATTTTTTATCTGGTGCTGTTATATAATTCAGTAAATTGGATGCAAAACTTGGAGAAGAAGTAATAGACTCACCTACTGTTGCATGCTCACTTTAACCTGTTTATGAAGCTAGTTTAGACATAAACTCAGAAACATGCGTTGCTTCCAACTAAGAATCATAATACTACAGTTTCTTTATCCTTAGACTATTGTGGATCTATACTAGGCATACAGTTGTGTGGGAGTCAATAAGTTGGCAATGGGGGATTTTTTGTGCTAAAAAAAAGTGAATTAACGACGTATTCTTTGATATTTGAAGCTATTGCATCACGGGTTGTCACTCTTCTCACAATTTCTAGCCGTCATTAGTGGGTGTGGACAGATTTATATACTCATGGTCCTTTTCACTGAGAGCACAACTCCCTTTGTAAATTTAAGATGGTAAGTCATTATCCGAGAAGAATATCTTGACTGTATTTCTTGTGCCTCTCTTATTGCTCTTGCCATTTGCAAATCTTTAGGTACTTGGATGTTGCTGGTGAGAAAAACTCTAAACTGTACATGTACAATGGAGTCATGTTGTTCTTTGGGTGGTTGGTATGTTTCCTCAACTTAGTGTGGTGCTACTACATGCTTCAAATATATATGCTGTCTACAGGAAGTTTGGGTCTTTCAAGTAATTTCTCCTAAATGTATATTGAAGCTTAACTCGCATGTCCACCACATTTTAGTTTCTAGTTTTTCAATAGTAATATTAGCAAAGAAGTTCTGGAATATATATGTTGCATGAAAAGAGAGCACAATTAAGACCAGTCAGTCATCTACTTCTCCAGGTTTGCGGCAATGGATCACAAACATAAGCTCAAATTCTTCTTTTAAATTGTTGATGATCCACAACATTTGGACCCGATGGCATCTAAGTAAATGAAGTAACAACACGCTGTTTTCCTCAAAGCTTGTGACCTAGTAATTCAGTTCATGAAGTAGAAAGATGCTCCACAGTAATAGTTTTTTGAACGAAGACTGATCTTTCTGCTTCATGCTAGGCTTTATCCGCATTTGCTTTTCTGACGAAAGGCTGATTTTGTTTTCAGGTCGCAAGGATTCTGCTGTTCATCTACTTCTTTGTCCACATGTATATCCATTTTGACGAGGTGAGCATGTCGCCTTCATCTCCTGTTATACTTGGTCAGATTCCTGGCCTGGTCTCAAGTTCAGGAGTGGTTTGGTTGTTTTTCCAGGTCAAAACGATATTTCCCTTGGGATTATGTACCTTGCTCACGGTGCCTCCAATGTTGACGATGATGAACGTGTTCTGGTTTTGGAAGATTGCAAAGGGCATGGTCAAAACTTTATCCAAGAGTAGACAGAGTCAGGTCCACAACCACATTCAGTGATCTACTAACCTGGATTGCTGCTGGATTCCCCCTGCGCCCGATTTTGTTGGCTGGAAGTACAGATTTTGATGTTTTTAAGAAACACTATTATTTCAGAAGGGGATTAGCTTCCAGGTCCGCTATTGTAGTAGAATCACTCGATTATTTACCCTATCGTTATAATTATTTTTTCTGAAGTGTATGTAGGGTTGACTGTGTTTTAACTGGTTGGTTTGTATGCCTTCTTTGGAATGGTTCTTCAAGTTGGTCCTATTTGCATTTGCGGTTGGCCTTGAGACGTTTTGGCATTACCTAATGACCTAATTCGACGCGTTTTATCCCACAAAGTTTTGGAATTTTTATTTTGAAGCAACAAGGGTGTGATGTTTCTTTATACTTTAAATTTGTAGCATCATGTGTTTATCATGTTCCACCATGGTGCTATATTGTAGTAATGTGCTTTAAACGTGTCACTATGTGTTACCACCATGGTGGTATAGTGTGATAATGTGCTTGAAATTTGTGCTACCCTAACTCATCTAATCAAGTTAAAAGTTAAACTCGATGCTTATATATGTCTAATCAAGTCTAGGGCTGGGAAAATAACCAGACCGTTAGAAAAACTGTGGTCCAAACTGTACCGCACAGTTTGGTTCGGACCGTAGACCGTTAAGTATGGTCTGGTCTGGTCCATGGTCTGTATTATTTTATGTTTTGATCTCTTGGTTTGGTCTGGTCTAGACCGCGGTTTACCGGACCAAATCGTGGACCCAACTGACTTGTCAATACGTGTTAACAGCCCATTCGACCACTCTCCCAACTCCCACAACGACACCCAAGTCTCAACCTTAGTTTTGTGAATCTCGTCCCTCCTTCATTCACAACCACATTTAACCAGAGGGTAGAGATAATTGTGTCTCCATATGACATTATGTTAATGCTTATGACGTTATGGTGCAAGTTGGGATGCTTTTACTTTGTATCTTTGTTATGTACTAAGATTTAGAGTATCAAAATTATTCATGCATGTTAGGATTAATGATTTAAGGCAAATAACAATTATTTTTCCTGGTTATTAGTTCAATTTTTATGTGGTTGACTAAACAAATTATTCGTTTCTCATTGAGTGTGGTCTATCTGGACCAGACCAGACCGCACAGGCGTGGTCTAGACTGGACCGTATAGTCTGTGGTCTGGTCTATGGTCTATACTTTAGCCTCTCGGTCTGGACCATAGACCGTATATATGACCAGACCGCACCGTTTCCCAACCCTAATCAAGTCAAATACATCTTATTAGACGGTGTAGTATAGTAGCTTCAATGTCGTGTTCCTTAGGGTCTTTATGTCTACTACTACTCTACGCATCAAGCTATACTATCTACCTAAACAAAGGTGGAAATGTTTGAATATAAATTAAACTAATTAAAAAAAAGAAACAAAACCAACTACAAGGAAGGGTGTTACTTATGGTCGAAACTATTGCAAGGAATCACTTACACTAGCAATCAAGTCAATGATCATGCACTTAATTATTATTCTCTTTAGCGAAGTTGGCTTCTTGGTCATATAGCTAACTAAATAACTAGAGCATTATGTCTAAACTCATCTAATGGGTTTAACCTACTCAAATGAGGATACAAGTCAATGGTCATGCAATTATAACCTCAAATTATTTATGAGTGTCTAATCTTGACCTAATCAGATGCTCACTCTTATAAGTCAATAACAAATACTCAAAATACTTAACCAAAGCGCAAGAAATGATAAACACCTGGGGGTGTTTTTTTTCAGAATGCGCAGCTAACGATTCAATCGAAGGATCGATTGAACTCGAATCAAGAACGAAGCGTTCTTATTATGAACTTGGATAAAACGGAACCAAAAGGATGATTCCACACCTGGGGAATGCTCGATTGGATTAAAGGGTAGTTTCTCGACCACAATTGAAGGGACTATTCAATCGATACAAAGCTCAGCAAGTTTGGAATCCACCAAACCCAAAACAAGTTCGCAAACTTGAACAACCAAACGGTTTCTTTTCTATTCAACAAAGTCTATGTTGTACAACGAAATAGAAAGCTCAAATAGGCCTAGCTAGGGTTAGACACGTCCCATAAATTCCTAATTAGGTTACAACTCGAAAGGAATCATAAACTATCTAAAACAATGAAATCCTAACTAAACAAGGAAAACTAATTATGTTTTTACAAGGCAGAATTTTGTGATTTTGGACGATCTTTGTGTCCTTCTTTCGAGTCCTTCCAGATCTCTAATCTTTCATCCAATTCCATCCCTTTGTAGACAAACATACCTATTTTCATGTTGTGGAAGCCTTTGGACTCGAATCATATTCATGCTTCTCGTATTGAGCTCCAAAGTAGGCTTCATGAACACGTTTCCAGACTTGACCATTTTCTGGTAGTTTTCCTGTTTTGAGTGAGCAACTTTGAGACCTTGGAATTTGGAAAACAACCTTAATGATTTCTTCTGGATCCAAAAACCATGCCATCTTGTAGAGGGACACTTTATCTTCACAACAAACCCTTAACCTCCAATTTCTAGTGAGCCAATTGTGGGAACCAAGCCTCCAAAGTAGGCCACCTGAAACAGTTAAAACACTTGGCCAAAATTCAGGATTCTTCAAATGAATTGAGATGACTTCTTTGGCAAGTAATTGTGACTTTTAGATTGATCCAATTTGGATCATATTAAGAAAATCATAACAAAGGCATAGATAATAGGTTCATAATCAAGGTTTACGTACAATGTCAAATCAAATCTACAAGTTGAGTTCATCCCCTAAGCAACCAGAGTCATAGGTGGAAGAGGTGTCCATGGTCGTGAACAACAGATCATAGGCTTTGATTGTTATCTCTCTCATTGTGATTGTGATATTGACTGCGTTTGTCAATTTGCACCCTTCAAACGACTCCTGAATGTACGGAAACTTGCAACAAACCTTTTTTAACATGCTATGACTTGAATTCAATGAGAAAACAAAAACTAGCATAGTGCGATAAGAACGAGCAAGTTAAGAGCCAAATAACCAAAAAATGCACAAAATTAAGTCATAGAATGCCATTATTTAGCTACAAATTGAACAAAATTAACCTAAAATGACCAAAGTATGATGATTATGTCATTCAAACACCTAAGAAATGAGCTCTAAAATATGCATATATTGTGCGTCATCAAATCCCTTGCACTTCAGCGTTAGTTCATCCTCAAGCAAAAAACGAAATCTAATAGTGCAACTATACTCCTTCCAATCACTCTTTTGCAAGGTGAACCATTGGAGTGAGTTGTTGGCAACTTACTAGTAACTTACAATGAAAATATTATCCATTTGGCAAGTCTAATTTCATCGGCAACTCGTAAAGACAATGCATTCAAGTGAGAAGATATATATGCATGGTGCCTAGTAGAATCTAATTGTAAATAGGAGGAATTGTCATTTACACGGTTCTATCCTTCATACCCAAAATTCTTACTATGTTTTTGTTTTAGGGGGTTGAAGCTTCTCTGACCAATAAAGTAAGGGATTCTATGCATGGCTTTCTTTCCCCTGTATATTACAGTCCGTATGGAGCGGCCACTAGATAGGGGTTAACCTTTGTCCGACTATGAATCATTCCAATTGTGCCCCTATCTAGATCACCCTCGAACATGGCTACCGACCTGAATAGATCGTGCATACAGGTTTCTCATATTTGGCAAAATTAGATGTCACTTGCACACAATCACTGGGCAGAGGGTCGTGTTCGAGTTGTCCTTATTTGGTTGGGTGAGGACCTCTTTAAGGTCATGATAAACCCAAAATAAGTGTTATTGGCCTTCCATATATTGGTTTTATCATGTTCTTTTTTTAGCTTAATTGATCATTAAACCTTGCATTTTAGCCTAGCATTGTTTCATATCGTATATGAAAAGGTTTAGTCATGTAATGTGATGGTTTAGGTGAATTGAAGTTGAGTTTTAGCAACAAGTGTATGGAGGAGAAAAAATCCGAGTTCACACTCTTCAACAGAAAGATCACAGTCGGGATCATCGGATCATGATATGAGTTCACAACATTGCAGATGTTCATAGTCGTTATCCATGAGATCAGGTCATGAACTCTAAAGTCAAGTAAATTAATTAGGTGACATTGAATTTCCTAATTAGGTGGTTGTAGGTTTATCCTAATTGACAAGGGTTGAGCATATCCTAGCTATGGTGGTCAATTAAATGACCAATGAGTTTGTCACCATAGTTAGGAGGGAAATTGGTGCCTGGCCATTGACTTTGTTGCCTCTTTAGGTATTCTTGAACCTTAAGATACTATAACTAAATGAATGAATATCCATTACATTGTGATTCCAATTAAGCTTGGTTAGGTGACTCGCTAAAACACAACACCTAACAATGGCCAAGTGTAACCAATGAAAGGGGCTGCAGTATAGTGGCACAAGTAATAAATATCGAATCCACGGGTCTCTAGAGTTACTATTACTCAGCTTCAGTTCATTATCTAGCAAACTAGATTAAGGATTGATTAACTAAACTACTCTACTAACTAAACTAAGTAAAACTACTAATTACAGTTTGGGAACTCACTTAGGTATGATTCCCCCTAGCCCCTCAATTAGGTCCAAGTTGTAATTCCTTTTGGTTGTTTTACTGTTGATTACACTGCGGAAGATCCGACAGTAGCTTGGAATCTCTTAAGCTGACCAAGCCCTCTCAGTCTAACTACCCGGCAGGCGACTAACCTTCACCGGGGTAGAAAGCTGAAGCAGTAAGAACAGAACTCCACTACTGGAATTAGATTCCAGTACAAAGCAGTAAACTGGCTAACTCTCGTATAGCCAATCTCCTACTATCGAATGATGAGGCTCTAGCAACCTAATCAGATTCTATCTATCTCAGGTTGCAGCAGAAATCAGGAAAAGTTGATCAGACTTCAATTGACTCAACAAACATGCATCATTCGATTATAATCAAACAATATAGCATCCAAAACTTCATACAAGAAAGATCCTAGCTCATGAAACTAGGGTTCCTCAAAACCTAAGTGAAGGGAAGTTACTCCATAGAGAAGAGAGAGACTGCAGAAATCTGATCTAGATCTTCAATCTCCATCTCCAAGCTTGATTCCCGAGCTCCAATGGCGAAGAAATCCTCCAAAATAGCTCCAAAAATGTTCCCAAGTCGCTCTCTCTCTCTAGGGTTCGTCCCTTGGGTGTTTGGGATCCAAAACCCAGCTCTCCTCTTCTGTTGCTCGAATCTGCCTTCAAAAACCCGACTCTGGGCGAATTACGGGCAGAATTACGGCCGTAATCACGTCCTGCCCGTAATTCGCACCAAAACGCGCGTTTCACTTAAGCT